GAGAGACAGAGAGGAGAACAGAGAGAAGAGATTAGACAGACAGAGAAGACAGAAGGAAGAGGGACAGACAGAGAACAGAGAGAAGACAGAGAACAAAGAGAAGAAGAGGACAGACAGAGAGAGAGAAGAGAGACAGACAGAGGACAGACAGAGAGACAGAGAGAGAGAGAGAGACAGAGAGGACAGAGAGAGAGAGAGAACAGGAGACAGACAGAAGAAAACCCAAATGTTTTAAAAGAAAATATAATGAGGATTAAAAGCTGTCGTGTTGAGTGATTAAATTATATTAATTATTATTATAATGTATATATGTTGTTGTTATTATTGTAATGAGTATGTTGTCCATTATAATCGCAGCTGTCTCAGAGAGACATCAAACCATATCCAATAAATATAGACGTTAGTCATGTGTGTGTTGTTGTGTGTGTGTGTGTGTACCTGTGTGTTCGTGTGTGTGTGTGTGTGTGTGTGTGTTAACTGTGTGTGTGTGTGTTACACTGTGTGTGTGTGTGTGCAGTCTTTTATTTACAGGTTTATTTAAACTTCTTCTCATTACTTTCCTCCCTGACTTCTCTTCCCCAGCCTACAGCCTCTCCTCTCCTCCTCCTCCTCCTCCCCCTCGTCAGGAGGAGCTGAGTTGTTTCCGTCTGGAGACGTACCTGACGGAGCCGAGGCGTCCGGAGACCAGGAGGCTGCGCTCCTTCTCCTCCCCTCCCGACACCGGACAGCACTGCTCCTCCTCCTCCTCCTCCTCCTCCTCCTGCTTCCAGCTGCCTCCTCTGGCTCCGCCTCTTCCTGTCGGGAGGCTGGTGAGTGAGGAGCACTTATTGATCTCAATGTTTGTTGTCACAATACAGCATTCATGTTACAAACCAATGTACCCGCACTGTGCGCCTGCTTGTGATTGGTCCGCGCAGCATCTTGCTGGATGATGTCACGTTGCTGCAAAAGTCAGGTTGACGACCCTCAGCAACTTCAGTCCAGTTCTATTGGTATAGCACCAAACCATAACAGAAGTTATCTTTTCAAATAGAGCAGGTCTAGACTGAGCTCCTGTCAATGTGTACTGACACCAGGAGTGGGCGTGGCCACCGAGACACACGGACAATCTGTCCACACAGCGTCAGAACAGCGTCAGAGAGTCAGCTGAGAGCCCTAACTGATGAACTGTATTTCCAGCTGTAGGAGCAAATAAGACTGCGGACATTAATATGTTTGTCCACATTTACACATTCATGTGTGCATCAGATTTATTAATATTATTTATTATCTGAATAGAGATTTGGAGATTCTTTTACACATTTAGTCTGATTACACGCACACTGACTGAGATACAGTTACACAACTCTCCACTTACATTTGTAAAGGAGGATCTGAGGACAGAGAATGAAAGTCATATTATCTGTTCATTAAACAAAACATTTAAATTGAGTATTAATCTGATAGAATGCAGTTTGGCCCTGCAGACACTCTTTGAATCAGCATCATATCAACATGAAAACCTTTATCATCAGTAGTTAAGGGTAAAACATAGTTTTAAATGCGTCTGCTCTGTGAATTATTGATGCTTTAATATGTAATATGTTATCTCAGCAGTTATTTAATGAGTCCGCTGATGCATCAAACTGAGAGCAGCTCAAAAACTGCTCACACAAACAAATATTTTCTTCTGCGTCAAAGAAAAACCTTAATGTGACAGTAAAAGTCCAAAAAGTCCAAAAAGTCCTCTGAGAGCGAGAAAGAGCAGAGCAACACTCACTGAACCTCGGCCGTGTTCGGCTCTGCTCGGCGGTTTCCGGTTACGCTCGGCTCGGGGATGCTGCGTGAAGCAACGTCAAGCGTCCACCGATAACTACAACCGGACCGGAAGCTGTGCTTTCAAAATAAGATATTAAAATGCACAAATAGGGTTACCAAAAAATAATATAATATAATAAATAAATCACAGAAGTCAAAAAGTGTTCTGTCAGAGTTTGTTTGGATATTTAAAATATAACTAAATTAATATTATAACTGCTTTATGGCTTATGACAGAGGAATTAGGAACAACACCATTGACAGTTTATGTTATATTATATATATTAACTGATGCTCATTTATACTACAGCAGTAAAATCCTGCTTTTACATTAATGCTTAACTCAGTTCATATGAAATCATATGTAATGGTCACAGTTTAATACTTACATTTTACTGAAGTAACTTTTCCACAGTGTGTTTGTTCTTTTACTGAAGTAGAGGATCTGTATATTTCCTGATTTTGAATTATTAAATTCAATTCTCGGACTTTTGTCACAACATGCATGCTTTTATTGTGAAATCTGAAACCGGACGTACAAGCGGTTAGCTCCGTTAGCTTGTTAGCTGCTGCGGCTCCGGTGGTCGCGGCGGACGGAGCCGATCTTTGCCGACAGAAGACGATCGTTCACCGGCAGCTCCGGTCCTTCCAGCCCGGACGGACACACAAGATGGAGCCGTGAGGATTGTATTGATTCCCGGTTAGACATCCCGAGCTCGGTCGGCGTCAGACGGCGGGAAAGAGAGAAACAGGAGCTTTTAATGAACGGAGACTGTCAGGTAGGCGCGACCGTCAGCAGCAGCAGCGGACTGCGCTTCAAAAACAGGCGATTTATCACAAAAACCGCTCTCACTTCTTCATATTCACATCCAAAACGCTGATACTTGCTGATGGGAATGATGACAGGTCTGTCTAATGATCGGCTACCGTCCCAATCATCCTATCAATAAAGATCACGAGGACCTGATTACCATATGATCCGTAACAGCAGAGTCCTTAAAATAACAGAAATGCTCCCAACCTGCAGCCAGGGCCTCATATGTGCCTCATATGTGCCTCATATTTAATAATGTAACAGTTAATGTCAGCAGTCTGTGGAGCATGGCAACATATATTTTTAATTTCCTTTATTCTGTGTGCTGAACGTGGCTTTGATTTAATACATTAGTCTCCTGCTGATCAGACATCAACACAAAGCAGATCATGTGATTAATTCATCAGATCAGCTGGTCAGCAGGTAAATGCTGCCAACGTCAGCACATGAAATATAAGTGGGATGAGTTTAGCTGACTGTTTTAATTTGAATCCAGCTGTACCCTGGCTTTAAGTGCTCTCACACTTCACTGCTACAGGTAAGGTAAGGTAAATCTATAAATGTGAACATAAATATATTAAATGTGAAACTTAATTATAAATGTGCAACATAAATCTAATAAAGTGACATAAATCTATAAATGTGACGATAATCTATGTGACTATAAATGTTGAATGATAATTATAACTGAGTTAATAAATGTGAACATAAACTAAAATGTGAACATAAATCTTAAATGTTGAAGATTAATCTAAATGTGAAGATGTATCTATAAATGTAACTAATCTATAAATGTGAACATAAATCTATAAATGTGAGATAAATTCTGTAATGGTGAAGAAAAATCTGTAATTGTGAAGATAAATCTGTAATTGTGAAGATAAGAATATAT